TATTTGTACTATGTTAGGGAGGTCGGTCCTTGTTCTGCTTTGCACCATTACGGTATGCAACAGTTTGGTATCTCCTCCTCCTCTCACACGTGTGAAGTATGATGGGATGTCCTGTCAGTCCCGGTCAGGTCAGGACTTATATCCAAGTCTTCCACTGCGCTATAAAGTGCCATTTTGTATGTATCAGGATGTACACTGCTTGTTGAGATTCCACTAACACTGCATTGTCCATTCAGTCCTTTTCATCACCTTGCGGATCCTTGGCTGTACATACATTGCCCAACTGGGCATGTATCAGTCATCCTCAGGCCGCTCCGGAAATGCCCGCGGTCTATTAGCGTCAGACCCAAACCGAAAAGGGACACGCAATAGGTACACTTATACTAGTCCTAAGAACTGACAACTACATCTATCCCCACAGAACACTTCGAGAAACGGGCCAAACCATTGCAAACAGCACACAAGAGAACACGGGTTCGAAACCTTCATGCATCAACTACAAACAATCCGCAACTACTCGATGACTGCGCTATCGTTTCGCAGGTTCGAAACGAGCTGCCTGCGCAACACACAAGAGAATGCGGGTCAGCAACCTGAAAACAATCTGCATCAACTGCAAACAATCTGCAACTACTCAATACCTATGCTATCAGGTCGCAGGTTCCAAACCCTCATGCATCAACTGAAAACAATCTGCAACTACTCAAGAGTCAATACCTATGCTATCAGGCCGCAGGTTCGAAACAGGCTGCCTGCGCAGGTTCGGACAATTACCGATACCCACAAAGTTCCACCAGAAATACAAAGTCCCAGCGGAAAACCAGCTGCCTTCGCAGGTTCTAGTCTCCACTCCTGCAAAGTCCCAGCTGAAATACCAAGTCCGGACAGTCCTGCCCCTGGTCCTCGCTTCGACTCTCGCCGGACGGCTACCTACACAGGTATGAACGAATTACCCACGCTGACTACTGCACATACCAATCGACTTACAAGGTGCAGGTCATCAGTTCGACTCTCCCTGTCCGCACCCCCCGGTCAAGACTATCCCTTTCAGTATAGCACTGGTGCACAGTGTTCCAAATCTACCAGATACTAACAGCGACGCCATTGCGCCGATAGAACGTCACGAAAGTCGCAAAAGCACATACACTAATATAACTCCACTGATTTGCATAACACCAAAAGAGCAGGCTGCTGCTTGTTCTGTCTCGTGCCACGAGCATCAGAGTAAACAGCAGTCTGTCCTGCACCCACTCAAGTTGGGTTTAATTATCGATACCCTTACTTACTTCAAGCTAAACACACTCAACATGCCTAACGACCACCAGCACGACTACGACCTATCCTTTCAGCTTTCTGGGTATAACCATGTCCAAATTGACTCCCAACATGGATTACGCCCCTTTGCGAATCGTCTGAGCACCCTGTTCAAAAAAATACCCTGGGGAAACACTTCATCCGCAATTTTCGTGGCACGGTCGGGACCGTCATCGGGAACTGGGAATGAACAGCCAGTAGTGTGTCGGTCTAGCCCATGCAGGTAGGTAGCCACTACTGCACTCTTCTGGCTCTTACTGCCCCACGACTGGTAGGACTCACCATTCCAGAATTTCAAATTGCTCCGAGTCCCAGATAGTTCTCTCATTCTCAGTCATCTGGACACATCCTAGATCATAGGGATAAGTGTCACTTAACTCCATCTTCAGACCCAGAAATTCCCAGCTATTTGAACCGTCGTCCGTTCTCTTCAAAGTCAAATTGTCTGGATAGCAGTGCTCAAAACTTTCCCCGATACGCTCGGTAGAACCCCGTGCATCATGTCCCTTGGCTGTCACTATGATAGTGACATCATCCGCCAACCGTAATCCATATACCTCCTCTCTTCTTCTTCCCACATCCCTCAGGTACTTGTATTCCGAATGAGCACACATGATACAGGCAAGGGGTGGGCTAGTTCTTTTACCCATAGGTATGCCCATCACTTGCCTCAAGATCACATTAGTTGCCCGTATAAATGTATATTTTAGCTCAAATCTCACAAACTTCCTGATGACGTCCAAATCGATCTCCCTCCAATTATCATCCCCTGTCGTTCGAACTTCCTGATGACGTCCAAATCGATCTCCCTCCAATGATCATCCCCCTGTCGTTCGACCATATGTTGTGCTGCCCTTTCCCCTTGGGTTAACCCTCACAAAAAGCCTGCCCTCTTAGCCTCGCGATAGTCGATAATCCACTTGACTGCTTCCAGGATATCTTCATGAGGAGGTTTGCTGAGCATATCCTTAATGCCGTAAGACGTCGCGAATATGTTCGAGCTTCCTCTCGTGTGTCGACAAATCTTCTTATTGATGGACTCCAGCTCCCACAGGAGGCAACGAAGACATGGATTCTTTCCAACCGTGGCACAAGAATTGCGACATCGTGTTCCGAACCCAAGACTGCGACTTTGCGACTTTGCAACTTTGCCACTTTGTGTCTGCGTCCGCCGAGTCGTGTCGAGTCCGTGTCGAGTCCGTGTCGAGTTGAGTGAGTGTGTGTGTGTGCTCTCACTCCCTCCCTCTCTCTTCCCCGGCCTCGCTGCTCTGTCTCAGTCCTGTCACAAGTTCTCTAGCTTACGATTAGTAACTTTCCTGACCCGCGGCTAGTTTTATCCGATCATCGAACTTTCAGTTTGACAACAACAATTATACCGTTAACATGCCACCCATACACTTTCCGAACTACTCTCACGATAATCCTCCTCAAATACCCCGTCGAGTTGAGTGAGTGTGTGTGTGTGCTCGCACTCCCTCCCTCTCTCTTCCCCGACCTCACTGCTCTGCCTCAGTCCCGTCACAAGTTGAGTCTCCTCTAGCTTACAATTAGTAACTTTCCTGACCCACGGCTAGTTTTATCCGATCGTCGAACTTTCAGTTTGACAACAACAATTATACCGTTAACATGCCACCCTTACACTTTCCGAACTACTCTCGCGATAATCCTCCTCAAATACCCCGTCGCCGATTTCCTGGAGAAATCAGTCGCGGCTCCATGCAACCTAACCAGTTTGTCCACTTCACAATCCCTCAGCAGATCGATGCGTCTTGGATTCTTGAGTAATGAAACCAATAGAATTTATTATCGGGACTGCACTTGCGTTTCCATCTTCGCAGAAAACAGAATTCAATTTTGAATTTCCCCTCCCTGCTCGAATACATTCTTGCATCCGTACGCAGCCTACAACGCCACCCTTCAACTTTAATGATCCAGTTGCAAAAAGCTTTCTTTTTTTTTTCCGTACGCAGCCTACAACGCCACCCTTCAACTTTAATGATCCAGTTGCAAAAAGCTTTCTTTTTTTTTTCCCTCTCCCCCCCTTCCCTCCCCCCCTCCTCCTTAATTGGCTTCCATCCGTTGACCCAACAGTTACCCCCACTTACTTCAGTCTTGAAATTACAGCAAGCATCCTTCTTGTAAGCAGCAAGCACTTCAAAAATATCCACTTTCCACTCCTCGTTACCCTGTGTACGGATCGTCGGATCGGATCGTCGGATCCTAATCGATCGGATTCGCAACTTCCGTTCCCTCTGTGTCAAGTACGACACTCGATGGCCTGATCCTCTCACCCTTTCGCTTACGTTTTCTGTTATGTCTTCTCCTACCCGATACAGGTTTACCCGTTGATTTCAATTCTGGATACCAGCGTTTGATATATTTTTGTTCCAAGTTCGCCAGCTCGCTAGCCTCGCATGAATCTATGGGTAGCAGGGTGTAAGACTCGAAACCAAAAATTATCCACCGGCGATAGATATGGTTTTGCTTAGCCCCTCGATTTGGTACTGACAGGTGTTCTTTCCACCTAAGGTTATAGTTTCTTACTACTGTCTTCACCCGAATAGAATGCCCAGTCATTATAGCTGTATTTGGGGTCACTTTCAGTTCAGATGCAGCAATAATGACCGGGCGTTCTTTTCAGGTGAAGACGGCAGTTTGGCCAACGTATTGAGCACGACAGTTAGGCGACGTTATTATGTATAGTATTGTATACACAATTTACTACCGACCGATCGATGAAAAAAAAAGAAAAAAGAAGAGAAAAAGAGAGTAAAAATTTACTACTAACCTACGTTACCACCTGTCCGATCCGGAGACGTCTCCATCGGACGTCAGGTAGGGGAGTTGTTGGGAATCCCGGACAACTCATTTTCCGCCAACTGGACAGCGGGAAAAAAAAATTAAAAAAATGAGTGGGTCCACGCGGAGACCCCGTAAAAAACAATTCAGCTCATTTAGAATAAAAACCCAAAAAAATGGGGAAACAGCCTCAAACAGGTGGGGGTGGGGGGGGGGAGGGGGGGGAGAGGGTGGGTGGAGGGTCCGCTGTTGCAGCAGGTGCAGCATCTGCTGCACATGCAGTGCCTGCTGCAGTGGGTGCTGCAGGTGCAGCATCTGCACCATCTGCTGCAGGTGCAGCATCTGCAGCATCTGCACCATCTGCAGCAGCAGATGCAGCAGATGCAGCAGGTGCACTAGCAGTGGCGTCCATCTGCTGCATCTGCTGCATCTGCTGCAGAAAATGCAGCAGGTGCAGCAGCTCGTGCATCTGCAGCATTTGCTGCAGCACATGCAGCAGCTGCTGCATGCGCAGGGGGGCTCGACACCACCCCCTTTTTTTCTTTCTTTCAATCAATCAATCATTCAAGAAGGGAGGGGGAGGAGGAGGAGGACGATGAGGAGAAGGAAGCAGAAGAGGAGGAGGAAGAAGAAGAAGAAGAGGAGGAGGAGGAGGAGGAGGAGGAGGAAGATGAAGAAGAGATGGAGAAGGAGGAGCAGGTAGAAGGAGGGAGGAGGAAGAGGAGGAGAAGGAGGAGAGGGGAAGGAGGAGGAGGGAGGGGGAGGTGATGGAAAGGAGGAGGAGAACGGGAGTCACCTACCTGGTGATGCTTGGGATGGTGGCGTGGGGTTGCGGCTGCTGGCACTGGCAGCAACGACCGAACGTCCTTCCCCAAATCGCACGCGAGGCAGGGGGCAGACCCAGGCAGATTTTGAAATTCCAAAAATGGCCCAATCTGAGCCGTTGATTTTCAAGATCTGACAGCCCAGATTGGGCCCTTTTTTTTCCAAGTTTTGTGCCCTACCGGCCTCAAAACGAAGATGCCTCGACCCTGGTCCTCCAGCCTGCAACCTCCACCTGATGTCCAGGCCCTGAAACGACCACCTCCCCCCACCCGCCCTGCTATTTTTCTCTTGGCGGAGACATGTTGTCTCGGGCAGATGTCTCCCAGAGTTGTTCGACTGGACAACTCAGACAACTTGGGGGGTCCCAGACGTCCGCCCCGGTAACTCAGCTACTAACATAATTCAAAGCTTTAATAAATTAATACTAATAAATTAAAATTAATAATACCCGGCACGGTCAAGATTTATCCCCGATTTTTTGAAAAATGAAACGAAAGGAACCCAATGAGGAGTGGCAATTACTCCTGGAGTACTGAACTGGAGGGACGTCTATGTCTGTTTTCTTTTTTTATTCTTTTGTGTGTGTGTGTATTTTTCGTGGTGTGTGGGGGGGGGGGAGAGGGGGGAGAAGGAGGCGGCCGAAGGAATGAGAGGGGATGGACTGGGGCCTTTTAAGGGGGATATTACAATGAATCACCATCACTGGATGGCATGACGAATTGGATGGGGGAAGACGAAGAAGAAGGGTGATGCTTACCCAAACAGGTTGAAAAAACTGACAAATGCATCCTGCAAAAAAAACGAAAAAAAAAAAAGGACATGAATGGCCAAATTAAAATTAAAATTAAAAAAAAAAAAAGTGCAACCTTGGAAACCTCCATTGGCAGAATGATACACTAAACGACCAAAATTCACAAATTTGCTGGTTTATCAGCCGGGCCACCCGGGTTGCTTCAGATTGGCCTGGGTGGCCCAGCTGGGCCAGGTCCGGGCAAAGTCCTGGTCAAGGTCCCAGGCAGTCCCACCCAAGAAATAATTTTTAAAATCTGAAAAAAAAACTACGTCATGCAGAATTACAAATCAAACAACTTTTTTTTTTTTTTTTTTAAGCCGGGAAACGGGCCCAGCGTCCCTTGCAAAAGTAGTGCGGCTCCACAGGGTGAGTGAGGCATCACCGGGCAAGCTCATCAAGGAGGCCGCAGGGTCACCTTGAAATTCATTATCGAACCCAAAAAAAATAAAAATAAAAACTAAATTATACCATACCCCTTTAAGTCCCTTTCAGCCCCTTCGAGCCCTTTTAAACCCGGCTTATACCCCATAGACACCCTTTAGTTAGACATCACTAATTTCAAAGATAAGGCTGGATTTGGGCACATCTGAGTGGGCGCAAAATTGCCCCACTGCCAAAGACAAAAAAACTGAAAATGACCCCCCTTTCAGTGTCACCCGGGTACCCCGGGTGGGTCACGCCCATGCAGGTTTGCCCGGGTCGGCCGCCCGTGCGGCTTCGGCCAGGCGACCCTGGTAACACAGCAAATTTGGCAATTTGTTACGTTTTTCCCTTATTGAGTTGGACCCCTCAGCCAACCACCAACCCCAGCAACACACCCCTTAATTTATTTGCTAACTCGCCTATTTCATTTTTGACAATCAGAAGACAAGGATTTTGTGTATTTTCACTTCCCAGTACAGTTTATAGTACTTTATACCTACAAGCGCAAAGTATCGCAGTAAGAGCAAAGTGCCCATGCAAAAACTACTCCACCCGGTGCATTATCAAATGAAAAAGGATAAATGATGCCTTGCTCACACACGCAGGGACGGGTTCCAAAATTAAGTCAATACACAAAATCATTCAACTTGTGAAAACTTTAACCATCATCAGCAACCAAGCTCTGAGTTCAAAAGAAATAAAGTCATTTCTGAATACTACACATGGAGTTCTCTCTCTCTCTCTCTCTCTCTCTCTCTCTCTCTCTCTCTCTATCTCTCTCTCTCTGTGTGTGTGTGTGTGTGTGTGTGTGTGTGTGTGTGTGAACACACACACACACACACACACACACACATCTCAGTACCGAATCTGCACGGCGATTATTTAACTGTCAACATGATTTTTTTTTGTTTTTTTTTTTCTATTTTTCCTGGAAAGATCGCAACGAAATCTGCGGCCCCTCACATTTTCAGAATTTTTCATTCATTCCTCTGATCGAGAAAAATCACGAAAAATGGAGTACTTCTTCTGTTAGCCCACATAAGGCAGAGTGGCCAAAATGGAAATGCACCGTTTCACGAGCAAAATGGTTGTTTTTTTTTTCCTGATATTTTTCCTGGGAAAAACACAGCGAAATCTACGGCCCCATGAATTTTCCATTTTTTTTACTCATTCTTCCGAACGAGAAAAATCACCGAAGTTGCCATATACTTCTTCTGTTAGCCGACACATGGTAGAGTGGCAAAATGGAAATGCGCTGAACTAGCACGGCGATTTTTTCGTGGGCAAATTTTTTTTTTTTTCTGTTTTTTTTTTCTGGAAAGATCAGGAGCTAAATTTACAGACCATCAAATTTTTAGAATTTTCTGTGCATTCTTCTGAGCACGAAAAATCTCCAAAGCTGCCACTTTGAAATTGCCGGACTAGGCTCGCCGGTTGGCAACGGTCACAGCCCCCCCTAAAACCCCGCCCGAAGTCACAGGGAGTGCAATTTCCAGGAGGCGGGTAGAGGGGTGGTTTAAGTGTGCAGTTAAACAACCACCCAGTTAACAGCCGCGGAGTTAACTGCCACCCAGTTAACGGACCAGCCAACCGCACAGTTAACTGGTCCGTTAACTGGTCCGTTAACTGGTCCGTTAACTGGTCCGTTAACTGGGTTGCAGTTAACTCGGCGGCTGTTAACTGGGTGGCCGTTAACTGGTTCCTAAGGAATTTGGAGCTCAGATTGACCTCTTCCTCCTACTATGCCTCTTCCGTTATGAAATCCCTCACTATCCCATCCCCCGTGGTCACCCTCGACAGCTCAACAGCTTTTGCACTTCGAATGCTGGGCATTGCTGGCTATAGAGAGAGTCGTTTTTTTCCTTTTTTTCTTTTTTTTGGGTAATTCTGGAATCATCATGGCTATCAGGAACCAACTCATTCCTTATTCGGCCAAAAACCTTTTTTGTTTTTGTTTTTTTGGTCGGGAGTTTTTCCTACAACAGCTGGTGGGGTGTAGGAGAAAGATTTTATTCTTCTGAGTTTCATCAAATGCAGAGGTTTAAATTTATGCATGGCTGTTCTTGAAAGGTGAGGTTTTTAGCCTCCTCCCCCTCCCCCCTCCCCGTCCCCCCCTCCTCACTTTGCTGTTAACAGTCGGGTTTTTTTTTTTTTTTGGGGGGGGGGG